CTCTCGAGTATAAGACTTCTTTTCATAGTTTTGGGTTTAAATCGCTAATATCTGTACCAACACGCTGTTCTGATAACGGTTCACGGTCATCAATCGATCACATCCTCACAAACATTGATGACGTCAGTCACGCTGGTGTCATTGAGAGTGACATCACAGATCACTTTCCTGTATTCCTATATTTTGAACAGGTCATCACTTGTAGCAACATAATACGACAAAAGTATCACTTTGATTCAGACAAGTACTGCATGCTCATTGCCGATGAAGATTGGTCCAGTGTATATGCCGCGAATGATCCTGAAGAGGCCTTGACCAGGTTCTACGACGCTATTTATTCCGCAGTCGAGCGTTCAACTACATTGCAATCATCTAACAGACGCTACTTCGCCCCACGGTGCCCTTGGTTATCACAATCACTGATACGATCTCTTCGCAAAAAAGAGAACCTATATAAAAAGACGAAACGTCAGCCTTTTAATTCACGCTTGAAATCACGCTATAAAACTTACTCCAGCACATTAGCCACACTTTTGAGAAAAGCTAAACAAAGTTATTACGAGCGGGAACTACAGAATTGTGGACATAACTCAGGGAAAAAAATGGCAGCATTTAAAAGAATTTTTAAATTCCACTCAGTCGCGCAGAAAAGTGACCTCTATTCGTGTCGACAACGTCACCCTCACTGCGGCCAGTGCCGTGGCCGACGCCTTTAATGTACACTTTTCCACTAGCCTTGCAGTCCCTTTCTGCTCAGACTATGTACCTCCGTTTTCTCACAGCCCTCAGTCGATGTTTCTTTTTCCTACGTGTGCTTCTGAAATTTCCTCAATTATTTCTGGATTAAAAACTACCCGAGCTGGGTTAGACAACATTCATTCAAAGCACATTAAACTTGTAAGATATCTTGTAGCTCCTATATTAAGCCATGTTTTTAACCGCTGTTTGAAGTACGGTGTTTTCCCGGATAAATTAAAGGTTGCGAAGGTAGTGCCAGTATTTAAAAAAGGTGATACCCTCAGTATGTGCAATTACAGGCCCATATCTGTCCTTCCCTTCCTGGATAAAATTTGGAAAAACTAATTGAAATAAGAATATCTAAATATTTAAGCAAATTTAACATACTTTCTCCTTGTCAGTTTGGTTTTAGGGCTGGTCTTTCCACTGATACTGCAATTGCTTGTTTCACTGACAAAATCAGATCATTCATTGATAATGGTAACATCGCAGGATCTGTCTTCGTCGACTTTACTAAAGCATTTGATAGTATTGATCATTTCATCCTATTTCGCAAACTCGAGTACTATGGCATAACTGGTCCCGCATTAACGCTATTACAGAGCTTTCTTCTTAATAGGTTGCAGGTGGTCTCGGTCGATAATTTTACATCCAGTCCCAACCCCATTACAAGAGGTGTTCCGCAAGGTTCAATTTTGGGTCCATTATTATTTTTATTATTCATAAATGATTTACCACGTTGCCTTAATTATTCTTCCTGCTTACTTTACGCTGATGACACGACTCTCTTTTCTCATCACTTGGATTTAGCGACTCTCGTGTCAAGACTTCAAGCTGACCTTAATTGTCTTGTTGACTGGTGCAACTGTAATAGATTGTTGATTAATCCTTGCAAAACCTGTTTTATGCTTTTTTATTCACCAAACAAAAACTATCATTTATTCCTTACCTTAATGTGAACTCAATAGTTATTCCTTTAAGTGATCATACGTCATTTTTAGGAGTTATAATGGACGCACATCTAAAATTTCAGCAACATATCAATTCTGTTTGTAAAAATATTTCGTACGGTATCACGGCATTGGTCAAGTCACGAATGTGTTTTAACATCGAAACTCTCAAGGCATTGTATTATGCATTCATACACAGTCATCTCAGTTATTGCATTACATCTTGGGGTAATTCATATTCGGTGCACATTTGGCCGTTAAAGGTATTGCAAAAACAAGCAATTCGACTCATAACTTTCGCTTCACGTCAAGCGCCATCACATGAGATTTTTCGCCAGCTTGACGTATTACCGATCTCCCAAATGTACGTTTACAATGTGTGTGTTTTGTTTTTCAAAATTTTCCACCGTACCCTCACTATCGACATCTTTCCTATTACCTTGTTGGATAATTCCAATAATACTAGATTCGCGGTCGCCCATAACCTGTTATTACCTAAAGTTCGCACTAATTATGGAAAAATGAGCACTGTTTTTTCATCAATTTCATTATGGAATTCTTTGTCACATGATGTGAAAGACTTGATGCACATTCATGTTTTTAAGAGGAAATTGAAAAAGTCTCTATTAAACGTATAACTGCTGGATTTTGTTAAGTTTTGATATCTTGCTTTGTTTGTAGAAAAAAAAAGTTCAAAATGTTCTGTGACTTGCTCTTTCGATATTCATATTTTAGCTTTTTCATTGTAATAACATAGGAGGTCCCGCCTGCGGTTTACTACCTTGGGACCTCCTCCTGCATACTTACTCACAATGTACACTTCTGATGCTAATAAAGAAACATTGATTGATTGATTGATTGATTGAATACACTTACTATGCTGGTGGCGTGCACCGACTATCGACACATGACTGCATGTAAGCACCTGTTTACTCCGTGTCTGTTGCAATGAACGTGGCGCTCGCAATATATATATATATATATATATATATATATATATATATATATATATATATATATATATATATATATATATATATATATATATATATATATATATATATATACGAGAGGAATAGTGTGATGTAATACCTCTGAGAGTCCTATAATTAGTTCATGGACTGATAAAGGTTCTTGAGAACCTCTTAACATATGCCCATAGCGACACCGTAGGTCTTGTGGATGTCCCAGCTACCTCAGAAACGATGCACTGATATTGGGACACACTATTCATGTTCCAGGGAAGGCACGTTTTCGCGGAAACATGCAGCAACCCGTTGACTCACTATGCATTGTGTCGTATCTTACGATGTCTTGCATTTGATATGTTTGTGTTATTAGTGACGAAAACATTGCTCCTGACTTCTACGAATCGTTCTGCGAATGTAGACAGTGCACCTATTTTCTGACTTAAAAGACGTCGCCTAGACGTCCTGGGTGTATCTGAAAAATACGTACACCACCTATCACGTCTACCCGATGGCGCTTTAAGGCCGTGGACCAAATTCTTACATCGTAAGAACGTTTGCTGCTTGCTGACGCGAGCATATTAGACGGATGCATGAGTGACTCAGCGCTAGAGACGAAGATCGAAAGCAACACCATTTGCACAAGGCGGTCGCAGTCTCGAAACTGAAAGATATATTTAAAAAAAACGAGGAAACACCACCAGCCATAGAAGAAATGCGCGTAAGGGAGACGGTACAAAGCAAGTCATCTAGCAACAACAACTGATCGTCGAGAAAATTGAAACATGTCACTTGATATGACATGAGCCAAGCAGATAAGCAAACTTCATGTCTCTCGCGAAAGTCGACGCATGACTCATTCATGCGTCTACCATTATTTATTGCGAAAAGCTTCGATGATTTCATGGGCAAATTTCCTACTGTGCCTAGAAAACACCTCCGCGTCTACTAACACCGGAAAACAGCTGTAAGTACTACAATGCGATGCTATTAGACGGAGACTAAGGAGAAAATAGGTTGCTCTCATGTAATTAAATTACTGTTTCGAGATACCAAAAGCACCAACCTTGCTGCACGGATATGCTTGGTAGACGAGAAAACACGGAAATGAAAGTGCGGGTCGTGGCGCCATCTTCCCGCAACATCTGCCGTTATGTCATAAACTTTGATGGTGTCCACTAGGCCCTACGTAGTCAAGAATGGTTGGAATGAAAGTTCGTTGTCTTTCAGAAAGTTTCAGAAGTGTTGCCGAAATAGTATAAAAACGCGTTAAAATCCACGACTTCGTTATCGGAGTATTTATTCGGCGGGAAACTTCAAAGGTGGTACTTTTGATTGATTGATTTGTGGAGTTTAACGCCCCAAAACTACGATATGATTATGAGAGACACTGTAGTGGAGGGCTCCGGAAATTTCGACCACCTGGGGTTCTTTAACCGGCACCCAAATCTGAGTACACGGGCCTACAACATTTCCGCCTCCATCGGAAATGCAGCCGCCGCAGCCGGGATTTGATACCGCGACCTGCGGGTCAGCAGCCGAGTACCTTAGCCACTAGGCCACCGTGGCGGGGCTAAGGTGATACTTTTGCAATTACTTTTAATTCCTTTGATATTCGTATATGCGGTAATGAAATTACCGACACTAACGTCATCATCTTCACCATCAGCTTGACTACGTCCACTGCGGGGCAAAGGCCTCTCCCATGATCCGCCAATCAACCCGGCCTTGTGCTTTCTGCTGCCGTGAAGTTTTTAGTCTCATAGGCCCACCTAACTTTCTGTCTCCCCTTTGTGCGTTCGCCTTCTCTGAGAATCCAATCAGTTACCCCAAATCACCAGCAGTTATCATTAATACGCTCTACGTGCCCAGCCCATGCCCATTCTTTCTTCTTAATTTCAACTATGATGCTAAATGACGGGTGGAACCTATCGTGAAAAAAATTATGTGTGTAACCGGTAAGAGACGAAAATAGAGCAGAGTGGTTCAGGGAACGAACCAAAATTAAGGATACACTAAAGTATCCCGGGTATAATTTATCAGTCTAAACTAATTTATTGCTGCACATTAGCATCATTTTAATACCATTCACATATTAGCCATAAACTTCTAAAACTTTCTTAATTGATAAATTTTTACATTGTACACGAGACGAAGAATTAACGACATGAATGCCGAGTGAAGGCTTTACCACTAGCAGCCTACACAGCGCCTTTCGCGAAATGAGAACCGTACCGTCGCACTGCCTTCAATTAAAGGGAAAACGTGCTGCGCCATCTAGAAGAAACGCGTGTCACTTGTGGCGCTTATTTTGATGCAGGTGCCCGCGCGACTCAATGAATGACCGGCCTGCGATCGGCGGGACAAGAAAGTCGTTAGCTGCGAAACGAACCTTCCACGAGCTGCTTTGCGTGCACGTGCAGCAAATCCGTTAAGAGGGTGAGCCCATTTCGCGCAGTTATTGCATAAACCGGTGCGTAGGCGCTGACGTTCAAGCAGGATCGATACATCCAGCATGGAAGCGCCAGTGGATGCCGGCATTTCAGCGACTGATTCGCGTCCTCGAACTGATGTGCGTGCTGCCGCGATGACCTGTTCGATGTACGTCGAAAACCGTCCTTAACCCGTGCCTGCCCGAAGACCTCTTTAAGGACAGCGCTTCCTGGCTCTTTAAATGAGGTAAGTATGCCGGTACCCATGTCCGATATCGTGCCTAGGCCTTTTGCCACGTTTGAATCGTAGTTGCAATGAATGCCGGGCATGTCTTTCTTTATACGTGAGCTTCCGATTCTTCACTGACGATATTGACTTTACCGCTACGGCATGAGTGAAAATCGAAAAGCCGTAAATTTTGTTTACAGCCGGTACTGCTCAAGCCGTGGCAAACGTGTTCAACGTGTTGAGGAAAACTCTAAACAAAAAAGCAAGAAAAAACAAAATGAGCGTTTATGTGCCAGCTGGCACTTCGTTCGCTTTTCGTACTTCGCGTTAGAAGCGGATTGGTGGCGCCATCTGCACAACGGAGACTTGAATACGCCGCGAATTTTGGTCTCGGAGTGCCCGCGTATCCGATCTCCGATCCGCAAGTATAAACCGCCACCTATGTTACGACAGTGTAGATAAAACTACAATAGCGTGGTAGTTGGTGTGAATAATGTTATTTTTTTATGTATTTGTGCTATTACCCCTCATATGTGGCAATATATTTGCTATCGTGCTTAAGCGAACACAACCCGCGAAATTTGAAATTGTTGTGGCGTATCCTCAGCGGACTGACAGAACGTTATTTCACGGAGGGTTGCTAGAAATCTTCCTGCCGCTTTGCTTTCTTAAATACGCACCTGAATGAAACGCAGAACCAGGCATTTATACCCTCTCCCCTTCTCTATATCTAATTAGATAAACCCCTGAATCGAACAACTCTCGTGAGTGCTAGCATTTTGCCCACAGTTAATGGCTGTCACAGTTGGTAACCGCATCTGCTGCCTCAATTATAAATATTAATGGGGGTTTACGTCTTGGAACTACGATACGAGTATGAGGGACGCCGTCGTGGACGGCTCAGGAAATTTTTGACCAAGGTACGTTGACTTCGGACAGTACACGGGCCTCTATACATTTCTCCTCCACCGGAAAGTGACCACCGCGGTCGTGACCGAACGCGCGACCTTCAGGTCAGAAGCCGAGAACCCGGTAACCGCTACACCACAGCGGTCGACAACAAATTTAGCGGCAGTCTGGCAACAACCACCCCAAAGTCTGGCAACTGACTTATGCAACGCCAAAAGGAACCTTGCCAAGGTGACCACCGCGGTCGCGTGATCGAACGCGCGACCTTTAGGTCAGAAGCCGAGAACCCGGTAACCGCTACACCACAGCGGTCGACAACCACCCCCCCCCCCCCCCTTCTTTTTTTTTTCTTTCTGTATTGCCTCCTCTGAACATGACGCGCATCAACAAGCACATAGAGGTAACAAAGATAACTTGTATCAGTCCTACTGTAGAGATATCAATTTTGAAATTCCTCTAGCGTTTCTACGGGTTCCCCTCTCGCCAACCACTCAGATAAAGACTGCCGCGCTTTCTGAAGTTCGACAAATTTAGACATGCACTCTCGAATAACTATAACGAGGTGGACAAAGCCGACTTCCTCGTATTTTATTTATTTATTTATTTATTTGATACTGTCAACCCCGTGCTTCGGGTCATTACAGGGAGGGTGTCGCAAAGTACATAACGATCACACAAAAAAGACAAATTCAAAAGCACATTTAAATACGAATTGAATAACCAACAACAGAAGAATAAGAAACAAAGAACAATGACTATACACATAAAAATCAACGAATAAATGCTCACAACAGAATTTAGCACGCATCATTACAAAGAAAACTGTGTAATGCATTTTCAAAATTCACTGACGTTGTTTGTTGCATAGCCGCAATGGGTAAATTATTCCACATATCTATTGTGTCTGGGAAAAAAAAGTGGCGGAAAGCATTGCCATCAACTTTTTTGCCTTCAATCACTTCGTCAGTATAACACGATATATCTCGGATTTACGAGGTATATGTGAGGGGTGTATGTCCATGTATGTGCGCGCATACGCACGAGAGTGAGCAAGCATACTGTGTGCGCTAGGCTGTGTGGTCAGCTGTTTGATCACGAGAGACGTGCAGAGAGGAGGATGTAGACATGACAGACGCAGGCGCTGCGAGATGAAGGCGACAGCCCTGTATCGGGTTGCACAGCAACAGCAACAAACAGTTCAGTCTCGTCTGACGACTGCTTCGCGGTTTAGCTTCCTTAGTCGCCATCTTCGTGTGTCGTGGCCAAACGCATATGGAGTGGATGTCTACGCTCCTGAACTCTGACGGGAAGCAAAAGTTGTAACAAGCTAACACAAACTGTATTAAGTCAACGAAATTAGATCAAATAGCCCAACTGTGACGTGCAGTGAAGTTTTCTGAAACCAGTGCTCGTGAAGATATTGCAGCAAACGCTTTTTTGTTTTTTTACAAAGACGAACGTGACACAGCAAAATTATCACAGGACAGCGCGCTACGTAACAATCAAAGCCAGGATGGGGGGTGGGAGGAAGGAATCGAAATCCCCATTTGGTATTTTTCAGTTTTGCATGTGTTTCAGTTTTACATATATACACGCACACATATTCACGCACACACGTACATACATAAAGTGCGGTCACCCACCTCCCTCCTCCCAGAAAAAGAGTTTCTGACCACGCCTCTGAATCAGATAATTTGTTTCTCGAAGCATTGTATAAAAACTTGGGAAAGTCGTTTTTAGGTTCACACAGATACGAAAATGACGGTCATTGTGAATTGTTGCTGGTGTGTTTTTGACGTTTGAGTCACAACGACCGCTATGAAATCTCACTTGTCGCGCCGAGGAGTTTTCGTCAGTGTTTCTCACCAATCGATTAGATGTTCCATTGCGTCGGAGAATGTGCATCTAACCGTTGGTGATATTCAGTGCAGCAAGCTTTTTTATTTTTGATTCGTGAAAACCAGATGCAACTTGACGTGCGCGCTTGTCTAGTTAGACATAAACCGGAGCGGCACACCTTGAAATCAGTTGTCGAGAGAGAGAGAGAATCATTCAATCACTTAAGAGTCACCGAAAACAGTCGCAACAGTCACCGGAAGACATGCAACGCCTTTCCGTGTAAGGAATTTAGCAGAGACGGCAGCATTACTCACAAAAGTAGTTAAATTGCATCACTAATTGGGGAAAGTAGCGACATTGAATTACTGTTACACTAAAGAAATGAAATGACCTGGAAATAATTTTAACAAAAGTTGATAATTCATGCACAACTGCGGTCCCGCCGCGGTGGTCTAGTGGCTAAGGTACTCGGCTGCTGACCTGCAGGTCGCAGGTTCGAATCCTCGCTGCGGCGGCTGTATTTCCGACGGAGGCGGAAATGTTGTAGGCCCTTGTGCTCAGATTTGGGTGCACGTTAAAGAACCCCAGGTGGTCAAAGTCCTCCACTACGGCGTCTCTCATAATCATATGGTGGTTTTGGGACGTTAAACCCCGCATATCAATCATGCACAACTGCAGTAAAGTTTTCCAACGCATGTGTAATCATTGTAATCTTGGACATATTTTGTTCAACTTACCTCTTTTGAGATTTGGCATTCAAATTAACGTGTCTTTGTCATTTCCTCTGCTTTCGTGGTAATTTTTTATTTCATGAAGGAAACGGGAACAATATATATATATATATATATATTTCTGTCAAAATAATTGAGAAAAGTGGTCATTTTCCGTGAATAATCGCTTGGACTAACTCATAACATTGCTGGATAAAGCAAGAAGCCACTTAATTACTGCAACGTAATTGCAGCAATTTCATTACTACCACGTATGGAATGTAGGATGCCACAGAATTGGATCCGGTAGGTAAATATACGACATGGAACGGTACACCACGGTGGCGCGTCTAAACGGACCGGTGCACGTAAATACGAAAACAATGATGGCAGCAGCCAGTCGAGAGACAATGCGACAGCAGGAAATATAAGCTAGCCTATACTTCTTTCCGGTCGCTGAGGCGGTAAGACGCACGGAATGCTCGATGCCACAATGGGCTCACGATAGCTCAGCACAATAGCTCAGGGGCGTAGTATCATCGTAAATATCACTACTACCAGATAACGACGTTCTGGCACCGGGACGGCTCAGTGCTCTCCCATAGTTGAGTACGAAGTACTCGAAATCGTTAAACATTTTTTTTCTAAACACACCAGATATGAAATATATTGATTATCTCCAATCATGTCCTCTTGTCTAGGTCAGGAAAAAAAATGCCAGAGTTCTCGAGACATCCTCTCGCGTCAGGGGCATCGACTTAAGCCATCAGCGTTGCCATGGAGCACACCCCTTTTGTAGCGTATTTCAAACGTATATTGTTGCAAAACGAGGCTCCAACGCAGCAGGCGGCCGTTCTTAGAGGACATGGTCTGTAGCCAGGTGAGAGGACAGTGGTCCACTTCCACAATGAACTTGCTTCCGGCAATATAACAAGCCAGTTTCTGGACTGCCCAAACCAAGCACGCACATTCCTTTTCGCTAGCGCTGTAAACCTGCTCGCGAAGGGTGAGTTTCCGGCTAACATAGAGGACGGGATGCTCTTGATCCCCCTCATCCCTTTGACTAAGAACTGCCCCCATGCCTCTATCACTAGCGTCGCATTGGACTATGAAAGGCATCGAGTAGTCCGGTGAACTAAGCAAAGGTTGGCTCGACAAGGCCGCTTTCAAAACGCGGAAAGCCTTTTCTTTCTCCTCATCCCAGTCGACCATTTGGGGCTCGGTCTTGCGCAACGCGTCAGTAAGAGTGCTGGCAATGTCGGAATATCTAGGGATGTACTTACGATAGTAACCAGCTATTCCAAGAAAAGCCCGAATATCGGTTTTCGTTCGGGGCTTGGGAAAGTCTCGGATAGCTGCCACTTTCATTTCAGAGGGACGGCGATGCCCTCGACCGATAACATGCCCGAGATAGAGTACCTCTGCTTGTGCTAGCTGACACTTGGGCGCCTTTACCGTTATACATGCTTCGCGTAGGCGTGTCAGTACTGCTCTCAAATGCGCCAAGTGTTCTGGCCAGGACGAGGAAAACACGGCGACGTCGTCCAAATAAGGCAATGC